GGGGGTCTAAGATAGGGAATGACTCTGAGAGAAATTTCCTGTGTATTTACTCAAGATTTGAAGACCCAGTGGGCTAGCTTAAGATTCAAGGCTCTGAGAGTTTAGGTAGCACTTGTGGAAAAAGCGGAAGCCAAGGGTCAGAGCAGATCTGAGGGAAGAGAAGAAACAGCAAAGGCTTGAAATAGAAATTATTTCAGTGACTGGAAGTAAAAGAAGAAAGACTGATCCATTATAAAATCAGTATAAACACATTCAAGACTAAATAACTCAGATAAATATGCCACCCAAATGAACTAAAAGGCCAGTAATGGTGGAAACTGTCTCAAGAGGCACGAAGTTCATTACCTCAGGAAATGAAGGGAAATGGTGACCCTTTAACTCCAATGGAACAGGAGGAAATTGATAAGGGTGCCTCAGAGAAACAAAAAGAATTAAGCTCCCAAGAGTTTGAAAAATGGAAATTACAACAAGAATTAAAATTGAAGGAATTAGAAATTAAGGAAAAAGTCAGAGCTGAAAAAAAAGCTAAGCAGCTACAGCTCAGGGAAATGGAAATTAGAGAAAAAGCTGAGCAAGAGGCCAGACAAAAAGAAATGGAATTAAGACAAAAAGAAATGGAATTAGGACAAAGAGAAATGGAATTTAAAATACAGAGGAAACAATTAGAAATTTTGCTCAAAACAATAATAGCAACAATAACAACAGCTCTGATGAGGGAAATCTCTCAAAGATCGATCTAAAGAAATTTTCCCAATATAGGAAAGGAGATTGCCCAGAATCTTTCCTCATTTCATTTGAGAGAGCATATTGGGACTTTGATATTAGGGATGATGAAAGGATAATAATGCTAAGATCACAAATAAGTGGAGATTTAGCTGTGCTGCATTCTCAGATGCCTCTGGAGCAGCCTAGAGATTTTGAAGCATATAGAAAGATGGTATATGCTAGATTTGGCTTGAAGCATATAGAAATATGGTATATGCTAGATTTGGCATAAATGCAGAACACCTGAGGAGAAAATTTCATTCCCTTACCAAAAACCCTGAAAAATCTTATTCCCAGATAGGGGCTAAAGTGCTTCAATGTTTGGACAAATGGATGGAATGTGAAAATGTCACTTCTCTAGAGCAGATGAAAAATGTGATTGGGTTGGAACAATTTTATTCTATTTCGCCTGGGGAATTGCGTTATTTAAAGACAAAAATCCTAAAAATCTATTAGAAGCAGGTGAAACAGCTGATTACATCAGTATTATAACTGCGGAGAGTTCGGGCATATTCAGTCAAATTGTACTAAAAACAAGAATAAAAATGGAAAAGATGATAGACCAAAAAGGTTTACTGCTTGAAAACTATGGAAGCCACTGAGGGAAGTTGTAACAAACCACTGAGGGAAGTTATAACAATGGTTCTGCCTCCATGGCAACTGATCTGCTACTAGCCAAGTTTGTTCATTGTTTTCTTGTAAAGACAGAATTTTAGTACAGAACCCTGGTAAGAAGATTCTTTTTAATGAGAAGTCTTATGTGGGAGTGGTTGATACCTGCTCCAACATAATCCTGTCTCATCCTGATGTGGTTCCTAGAGAACAAATACTTCCAAACCAAACTGTTACAATCAATGGAATAAGTTCTACTCCAGTAGAGTAGGGAGGAATGTAGCATTCACCCTTTGTTAAGTAATATATGTCATGTATTATTCATGTTCTATGCTAATGTGGTTGAGAGGCGAAGCCTCAAGAGATGTTAAAAGGTGGAGCCTGAGAAGAGAGTCAGAGAGGAGTCTGTGTTAGGAATCTGAGAAAAGGATAGTTTAGGGTCTGAGGAGTGATTAGTCTGAGGAGTGATTAGTAACCTGTGATATTTAATATAGATTAATATTGATGCTTGGTGAAACTGAAAGAATATGCTTATGAATTATCCTAGAAACCATCTGTATTCAATAAACCTGTTTTATTAATAAGTCAGTACTGAGGACCTTCGTCTTTGCTAAGTAAAATAAGTTGATAAAGAGATCAACTGATGGTAGTGTGTGAAGAGAGGTTTTGGTTTACCTTCGTGAGCTCTGTGTTTGGGGAGATAAGCAGTGGCTACGAGGGTGAACGTCACACAGGGTATGATGCTAACCATGATATACTATAAATAGCTACTCATAATTCTGTTAGAAAAATAACAATATTGCATAAACTCACACTAGGTATCGGTGGGAGGGGGCTTTTACTATCTATAGTGATAGTTCTTTGCCACTCGCCTGTACGTTTGCTTTCCTTCCATTGTTTTGTTGTTGGTTCTCCCCTTCTTCTCTGACTTTCAACCATGCAGTAGACATGGAGGATGTCTTTGCTATTAAGTGAAGATTCCATTACCCTTTTTACCTTTCTGACTGTAACTACTTTTGTACTTAAAATTCTTCTAGACTGCTAGTCACTAAGGAAAGGGATGTAATGATGAAATTTGTGTTCTTTCACTTTTTGTTATACTCTGTTAATTATATAAAGGAATAATAATAATTCCCGAAGAAATTCAATAGGATTTACTCCAAGGTGAGCACAGGCTTGCTGTTCTAATCGCATTATAGTACAGAATTAGATATTCTCCTTTGCTTGATGTGAAAACCAGTGTTCCTCATCTGTGAGAAACTATCAATAATATATCCATTTAAATTAGCATTTAATTTTGTTTCATTACAAGGAGAGAGAGCACCACTATTTGGCTAAAGCCCGTAACAGCTGTCTTTTGTTATACCTAGTTTATTGAGATTCTCTCTGAATCAAGTGCTGAGATACATGTATCACTGCCTTCTTATTGTAAATACATGCAGCACTGACAGCATTTTTGAATATTGTTCTGGCAGCATTTGTGGTTTCCACAAGGTCTTCTCCAGCCACGATTGATCTGCGATGAATCCTAATGAAAATCAAAAAATGATTTTTAAAAATGCCACCTTAAACGTCATTCAGATGGATTTTTTGGAAAAAAAAGCTCTAAGTAGGCTTACAATGAAGAAAGAAGAAGCAAAAGGGCACTCATGGTCAGTTCCCCTTCATTGAGTACTCCTTATATACAAATCATTAAAAAAAATTTAGAAGGGCTTAGTGTAGGCCTGATAGAGTAACTGTTGACCAAAGAGAAGAAAAGACTTAGGAGTTAGCAGAGAATGGGGAGGAAATTGCTAATAGGAGGTTGGTTAAGGTAGCTCTGATGCAGCTATGCCTCCTGCAAATCTTGAGGGCCACTGCAGAGTATCTTAAGCTGCAAACATGGCAGATTGCCAATTTCCTCCTCTCTCCCTCCTGACTAAAGTGAATTCATACTAGGAAACGTAACTTCCTGGGTAAAATTTACAAGTGGGGCTATTCAATATTTTCCTGCAGTGTACTCACACACTGAAATAGGTTATTTACTTTCTCAACATCATGCCTACAAAACCCAGTTTGGGGGCATTTTTGTCTCAATAAGATTACAACACCTAGCCAAAATAAAATGCCACCATTGCAAAATGCAAGTTTTTTCAGTCCTAACCTTCACCCAGCAACACTGTACATGAATTCTGTTTGCAGCTCTTCAGTTGGCATTGTCACAATAAGTCTCATTCAACATAAGTCTCATTCTGCATAAATTTTGTAATGAACTCTTGACTCTGAAGGTTCAGGTGGACAAAAGGCATTAACTGTCTCTCTCATATAGTACACAAAGCCATGTGTAAAACCTGTCTGAGGAAGTAGACCTGTCCACAAAAGCTCACATTAAAATATAGCAGCTAGTCTTTAAGGTAGCAGAACATTTTGTCTTCTTGTTTTTTTATTTTTCTTTTGTTTTTGTTTGATGTTTTTCTTTTAGTCACTGTTTCTGTTGTAGATTCTTGCATACAGTGCAATTCTTTTTTAAACACATTTTAAAATTTTATTTGTTATACTTTCATGCTTTTGAGACATTCCAGGCAACTTACAGCTGACGTAAAACAATCAAAGAAAGGGAAATAATCAAATGTAAAAGCAAAATAGTAAAAATTAAAAACTATAAAAATAAAATACCAGACAATATCAAGCAAAACCAAAAAGATGCATTAATTTATCAGATAGATTTCTAAAACAATATTGAAAACAAGTCTAGAAGTTGTAACATGTTTTTGTTTGGCTGGCTGTTAACTGATTATTCTTAAAATGGATCTAGAACAAAATGGCATTTGAAAGTTTTTAATTTGCTGTTAAAGGAAGTTGGCTTTTTAAAAATTCTTTTTAATCTTTAAATAACATTTTATCTATTTTATTATAAATCACATTGGCAGCCCTAGTGAGCAAAAAAGTGATAAATACAAATATAATTATTAGGTAGGGCAGTTCTAGCAAAACAATACATTTCACAGAGCTGCTCATTCAAGCTGATTTTCTTACTGATATTCCTAACATATTTGCCCTAGTTTTCACTGAACTGACAAATCTATGCTTAGGTTGGACAACTTTAGGCTGCATGTAAGGGTGTACAAAACTGAGTAAGGAAATAAACCAATGGGAAAGAACTGCAAAAACCTATCATGTCAAAGAGAAGGCGACTGGAAACTTTTATGTCCAACATGTAGCCTCCTTTGGAAAGATTTTTTTCCCCTTACAGATGAATATTTGCTCTTGTGAGTTCCATCTATACCCACTTCTCAAAGTGGTGCTCTAGCAAATTCAACTATCTCTGCTCTTAAGAGACTAGTGCATTTCCTCCTTTCTTCTCTATAGCAATCTTTAATCACCATATGCATGCATTTACACTGAGGGAAATTCTATGGCTGAAATCCTGTTGCTTAGCATAGTAAGTCAAACTAGAATAGGCCTACTGAATCAGCAGAGATTTGGGGAATCAACTTTTCCATCAGTTTCACTTAAGGTGCAACTAGGGCAGGTCCATTTGAATCAATGGAACTTATGAAGGAGTAAACCCACCAAATCCCCACTAAGTCAGTAGCCCTAGTGTAGCACAATTTACCATGCTAAGCAACTAGATTTCAGCTTATATATCAATTAGCTTTCAGGTGTGTAGGATCTAGGACATTTAGGATGTTATCAGTTCAAACCCAGCATATTCTATCATTCTCTTATGCTCAGATGACACAAATTCATCCAAGCTATCATACTCAGCTTACTGGAATTAATCCATGCACTATCATTTTATGAATAATGTGGCAGTTATTTCCAAAATGTGTATGACAAAATGATCCAGTTTTTACCAGTGTTTTATTTATACACATACCCCCCAAAAGCACCACACTTGCTATATTACTGAAAACTCATAATATTAGACTACAGTAATACACTGTGCCAAAGCATTTTCCCAATAAAATTGTGAAACTACCTAGAATGATGACATTTTGTGATACTATATTTGTGATATTGTTATTTATAAGGAAAATAACTATTTATACTATACAATTTTAAGCTGCCCCAAATTATTAAATACTTTGGGTGCTAAGTGTCTTTTTTGCAAATCTAAATACTGTATATTATATAAACTAAAAAGCTGCCTTAATACTCAGCGGCACTTTCCATTCTTTTCATTCTTCCCCCACATCCCCATGCAAGATTTTGGACGCACAGACAGGAAAATTTCCATTTTAGTAAATAACACACTATTAATATACAATGCTTAGTGTTATTCCTGCAAGAATATATATATGGAAGAATATATATATGGTATATATATGGAAGATACAAACCTGAATGCGTTCAGATTCCTTTATCTCAGAAGTAGCTGCTCTCCTTCCATTACACCTATCAATTTGGTTAATGTTGAAAATGGAGATTTCCTTGGAACATTGGCAGCTGTTTCTAGTCTCCTGACCACATTTCACTCGAAAAATACTTTCTCTGTTTAGGCAGTTCTTGAATTCTGAGCAACAGCAGTTATGCACTCTCTGGCAACACGAGTATTCAGAATAAGCAAAATGTTTAGGTACTTGAAAGCCATCCTTAGAAGATGATGCCATATAAGTGCCTGATGGACCAATCTCTTGTGTAGTACCTGGCCCTACATGGAATGTGACATTTTTTCTACTGCTTGTTTTCAGTGTTTTATTTTTCTCTACATCATCTTTTTTCAGATTCTTTGTAGAAAATCCATTCTCAAAGAAGGATGCTACTTTAATGAAATGATTATTTGAAGCTTCTTGGCTACCTATGTTGTGCGAAGAACAGAAGTGGAAACCATGTTGGCAGCTAGCACAGCAGGCTTCCTCTGTGTTACAGATTCTTATAGGGGAATTTACTCTGTTTGATTCAGTTATACCAGCTGCGCAGTCAATATCTGAATTTGCCCTGGTTTTCTTCCTGACTGACTCTGAAATATATTCTTTGCCACACTGGGGTATAGTTCCACATGAGCAGACTGAAAGCTTCTTTGGGAATAAACCTCCACAAGTTACTTGGTTAGACCCATAATCCATGTTTTCCACACCTGTATTGTAAATTCTTTCCTTCTGTTGCTGGATCATCTTTGTACAACAAGGAGTATGAGAAATGCTACATTTTCCATCAGAGTAAGATGCTGCAGGACTCCAAATGTGTTTTTCAGTTTGTGCACAGGGTATACATGAATGCCCCTGTTCTTTACAAAAAAGATAAAATGGTGCAGGACTCCTTTGACCAATTTGTAAACAGGGTGAAGAACATCTTTTATTTGAATGAGACAATTGAGCAGAAAGTGGAACTGAAGTATTCCTTGAGCTTGAGAGAAGTGTGGCACCAGAACTCCATTCATCAGCTGGCTTATTTGGAGTGGAAATGTCATTTCTCTTTATATTTGAATTATTTGGAGTGGGAAAGACATCGTCTTTACAGTTTTTCTGTGTATTCTGTCCTCCAGCCCTCCCTAAACAATAGTTCAATATGTTCTTCATCTTCAAATTATTTTTCCTTCTTATTGGAGAAAGGTATTGGAACCTCTCAAAACTACGTATAGGATTTAGCATGCAGTGGGAGGAAACTCTTGGAGTTACCTTACTAACTTCTGTTCTTTTGGGAGGTTTTCTGTGCACTCTTAGAAGCTTCCCAGAATCTCTCTCTGGAGAATACAGGTCAACCATCAAATCAAGCAATGGGCTACAACAACATTTAGTAGCCTGTGCTAGAGGCAAATAATATAAGTCATTTATTTCTACTGCGTTATGAGTATTTTTGTTTTTAGTTTTTGGCCAATGAAAATTAGAGATAGGGGATTTGCTTCTGAATTGTTGGTCTTTTTTGTTTCTGTTTAATATAATAGATTTCTTAGGCTTGGAGGCCTTTGGTGGTCCTTTCTGAACTTGAGAACTCCTATAAACTGATGTGATCCTGTAATGGGGTAATGATCTGACACAGAAGGTGGAATTCTGACTTGCATATGTATCTTTAAAGAATGGAAAGCGCTGAGAAGGAGCCCAAGGCTTCAGTGTAGATAGCGCTTGATCAGATTGGATGCTAGAACAACTACATTCGGATGATCCTGTATAAACTATTGTGAGGTGGCTACCTTCAGATGATTCTGTGTGTTCTGCTGAAGGATGGCCAATATCCTCAGCTAAGATTTTTGAATGTCCTATCTTTGTGGAAGCTGGAATTTGTTTTGGCTTTTCTGTGTCTATGCGCACAGAACCTGGAATAAGAGATATGTACAGCTTCGTTACTAGCTGGCTTTCTTCAGAATCTTTGAATTTAAAAGCTAAAGTAGGTCTCTGTGAATCTTCTTCTATTGAACTAGCTGGATCTACACAAGAGGCTTTGAGTGTCAGAGAAATAAGTTCTTCTGAGGCAGTATGCAAACAATTTTTATCAGAGGTCTGAGAACTGTCCGTTTTACACGAATCCTCTGAAGAGTAATCCAAACTGTCCTTTACCAGTTGTCTTTCAATATTGTGACATACCGTAGGTTTCTTGACTTGTATTTTATTAATCTCACAAAGTCGTGCTGATGGTTTGAAACAGTCACCAACAATATTTTCCTCAGCTTCTGCTTCTCTACAAGGAAAGAAATCTTTGTTGTGTTTACTCGCTGATAAACAATCATCTGGTGGTTGCTTCTGATTTGGCTCATCAAATGTATAAGTTTCATCTGCTTTGTGAAAGGTTTGTCCTTTTACTGAATTCTCAGTAGCAAATGTAGGAACGATTTTAAAATTTAAATACAAGCCATCTTTATAAGACCCATCATACTTGGATGAGTAAGTTTTCAGTGGATTATTACTTGTATTGTCATCCTCAAAGGTTAAATGCAATATAGAGTCTGGTGACAATTTCACTTGAAACTCTCTAGCATTCTCTAATCTTTGTGCTTGCAGCAGAGGGCAATGTTTGCAACAGTTTGCTAAGTTAGTAATGCTGGAAATCAGTACTGTTTTACTCAACTTGTTTTTTCCTTTCTTTTTTCCAAGCAAACTGCATGGACTGTTTTGACGAAAATGTAGATCACTTTCACTATGAGAGTCAACCAAATCTAGGAAAATGGGGAAAAAACTTTCATAAATTCAAGAATCTTATTTCCCAGGATATACTGTAGACTATTCATATGTTTCCATTTATAAGGTGCCCCAATGTACAAGATTACCCCCACTTTTCTAACCCCAAATTAGAAAATTTGCTTGCTGCTTTCCCCGCCACTTCCTAAGCCCCATGGGGCTTAGCAAAAGGAGGGGGAAAGCAGCAAGCAATGTCAGGGAAAGAAGCGAGCAAAGTGATCCTGCAGCCCTTTGATCCCTGCTTTCCCCCTCCTTTTGCTAAGCTCTGTGGGGCTGAGCAAGTGGAGGGCAAAAACAGTGATAAAAGAGCAGCAGGATTGCTTTGATCCATTCCCAGCTCCACTTGTTTGTGTTCTCTCCTCAGCTTACTTCCAGGTATAAGACAAACCTCAATTTTTAGTCTAAAGATTTTAGACAAAAGTATTCTCTTATACATGGAAAAATACAGTCACATCTAAGATTATTATTGTTTTTGTTTTACATAAATGGTCGCTAACAGAACCTAGGTATAAACGAATCCTTGCAGAATATATTGTAATTTAGCATCGATTTAGCATCAAAGAGAAGAGAAGAGCTCTAACAGCATAGAAAGCATGTCCTAACGAGTACAACTTGCAGGCTCTTCGACTTGATTGTAGCAAAGTCCAACAGGCTGCCAGGAGATGTTCCAAGGATTATTGGCTTCAGCTCTGCTCTCAGACAGATATAGCAGAGGACACAGGTAACATCAAGGGAATGTATGACAGTATGAAGCAGGTTTCAGATCTAATACAGAAGAACTCTGCTCACTTGAAGTCTGCTACAGGCGTGATCATCTAGGACCCAGCATAGCAGATGGAATGCTGGGTGCAGCACTATTCTGAGCTATATTCCAGAGAGAATGAAGTAACCGAAGAGGCACTAAATAACATTGAGTGCCTGCCTGTCTTGGAGGATTTGGACAGCGAACCAACTTTAGCAGAAATAAAAGTGGCCTTGCATTCCCTCGCCTCCAGCAAGGCACCTGGGAAGGATAACATCCCTGCTGAAGTGCTGTAAAGAGATCATCACCACTGAACTGTATGAAATCTTTTGTCTTTGCTACCTTTGTTGACATGCACAATGTTTTCTTCCCAACAGTCAGAATAAAAATCACATTCACTTTCGGTGTCAGACTCTGCTGAGTTCTTGTTGGACATATCAATATCATCTAAAAAAAACCAAATGCAATGCAGTTATGAGAAACCAACCTTTATTTTACAGTTCACCTACTGGCCTATCTTCCTATATAAAAAAGAATCATATCTTACTAATGTGCAGATTGAAAATTATTATATTTAAGAGACTGTGGTCACAAATACATTTTCACCAGTGAATTTCTACATGTCAATGATTTTTATGAGTGCAAGTGGGTTTAACCTTTTTCCCCTTTTAAAAGAACTCCAGGAGACAGTTCTTGTTTAAGCTCAACAACATTTAATAACTGTTGTGATAACATATCTACTGTTAGTTCAACTGGCTCTTACTCAAGAGAACAGAGGGAGCCCAATAAGGTAAGAGGATTGTGACAAGAATGGCATGGAAAATATGGGTTTCAAGGAGTGACATGCCTTCTTTCTGTAGGAAAGAAGGCATGTGATAATAGGTTGACTAGGAAAGCAGTTCCAAGCATTCAGGGCAAAGATTGTTTGAAGTGACGGAGAAATGAGATCTTCATGAAATGAAAGGAGTGTCATAAAGTAGGATGGCCATTGGCCTCGATTTCTATAGGCACTCCTTTTAAAATCTCTTCCTCCTATTGATCCAGAGACTAGAGAGATTCCAAGAACCAAGGTATAATGAAACAATGTATTCGCGAAGGCTTTCATGGCCAGGATCTAATGGTTGTTGTGGGTTTTTCGGGCTTCTTGGCCGTGTTCTGAAGGTGGTTCTTCCTAACGTTTCGCCAGTCTCTGTGGCCGGCATCTTCAGAGGACAGCAAACTGTGCTCTGGGTAAGGCTTGAGAGTGGAGTATTTATGGCTGTGAGAAGGCTTGTTTGTGAGAAGGCTATTGTCCTATCAGGAGATGGTTAATTAGTATGTTTTGTTGTGGCTGTATTGTTTTGATAAGGAGGGGAGATTATCTGTCCCTGCGGTTGATGGGTGTCATTAGCTGGTGTTTTGTGTGTAGTAATCTCCTGACCTTGTGGCTGGGTGGAGTTCGTTGACCTTTTGGCTACTCCAAAAATGAAATCACAAG